TAGCAAAGATTTTCCACTATATAAATAATATATTTACGAACAATACTATATGTTAAATATAACCTCAATGTATTCTTTGACAAATATAAAAAGTAAATATTTACTTGAGTATACAATACGTACAATAATTATATTTGAACATTCGTTAATATATAACGCCTAAATACATAATAATGGGCCAGGTAAGCACGTATACATATTTATTACTAGTTGTCGCCCGTCTCTACGAGTATTAAAAAAAACTTAATTAGTAGCCTGTGTTATTCCAGACTATGTTGTACATATGTGCATAATTTTATAAAGATCCTTCTAACAAACATTCGCATTTATAATAGAAAGATTAACAACGCCTCATCTTCCACAATTAATTGGTAAACGGGAGATGACAGTCTTTGTGTGCGTATGACATTTCAAGGAAGAATACGAAACAAATGACACATCACTCTTCAAAATCGTTAGCTATAGAGAGAAAGACGGAGAAAGAGAGAGAAGACCATAAAACATATGAAAAACATGTAAATTAAAAAAAAATCTAAATATAAATTATAATTTGAGATACAAAATTTACTATAAAGTCCTTTTGAGTACATATTGTTTTAAAGAGCTTTTGTTATTTAATAGTAATAGAACAATTCTCTCTCAGGGTAAAAACTAATTAAATAACTAACACAAACAAACATTTAGCATCTGATTAACGACCGTACACACACGCGTACACGTCTAGTGTAGTGCCTTAGTCGATAAAATATATCGATAAATATACACCACACTAAATATATTCTCCGACGTTTATGTCGTAAATAAAACGTGGATTGTAAATTAAAATGTCAACTTTATGAATTAAATAGAGCCTAGAGAGTCATTAATGTCTGTATATGGGAAATGAATTTTCAAAGTTTACAACCCTATGTTCCATGTTGGGATCGAATAAGCGATCGGAATTTAAAACGAGATGTACCGTTGGTTTGTGAGAAAAGTGCTAATACAAAAGATTTGTATGCGAAATTGCGTTTACCAGTTTTAAAGCAACAAAGGAATGCAATTTTGTAAAATTACGTGGTATTCTGCTTGATACGAAAGGAATTTTTGAGTAAGTTTTTTTTACTTCACCTGTTAAGAATTATAAAATATTTTTGCTGTTAATACATTATAATAGTCTTAAATTGAACTAAAAAAAACTAGATCTTATTAATATTAGAAATGCGACAGTTTAGTTGAATGGATGGATGGATGTTTTTTTGAAGATATCTCAAGAACAGCTAAACGGATTTTGATAAAATTTGGCACACATGTAGAACATAGTCTGGAAGAATACATAGACTTATTCTGTTTTTTCTTAATTCCGCGCGGTCGGAGTTGCGGGCTACAGCTAGTAAATCTAATCCTATTTCATACGGCTGGTCGGCACTGTATGTACTCATACTTACTGATCCATACATCTCTTTCTGTGATATTTAAATTCTCTTACGCTATCCTCTTTTATACAATCCATCCATACTTTCTTCTGTCTTCTCCTACCTTTGCAGGCTATTTGAATAAACGACGTGCAAAAATAAAAGTATCGATTCTTTTTTTGGCACATCACTGTTTGACATGTGACAAAGTATTGCGCCTACACGGATTCCTATCGCTCTGTCATACCCCCGATAACCTTGGAGTCGTGACCCGAATACTGTAGACTTTAGATGTAATTTCTAGTACACATACTTATGAAAGTAAAGCGGAAACGAAAAACCGAAAGTCAATAATCGAATACTGAGTTACAGATCAGTTTAGTTGAATGATATTATCTCATGTCAGTTTGATATAATTTCGTGTCTATTACTATGGTTTTCTCTTTCTTTATTGCATTTTACATAGCGCAGCGTACGTGCCGTGAGTCAGACGCGGGCAAATGGACGCGTACCTTATGCCTTCTAATTTTTTTTGATATTATGTATCAATGAAGAATTCTACCAATATTAAACTTGACGCGAAAAAAATGTTTCGCTTTTGTTTCGCCTTCGATTCGTTTGCTATGCAATCTTTACCAACTATTGGTATATTAGAAAACACTTAGCTAATTCGTTAGTGTTTTGTTTTATATCAATTTCGCAATCCTTTCGCATTTCAGTGTGATCGGGGCGTAAATCTATGTGGGAAGTTTGTCACATGGACATAGTCTCCTTGAACCATCGCAGCTATTGTAGATTTCTATAACCTTTGCTTATCTGATTTGCGATGTATTGTTAGAAATATTTTTCGTACCTTTAATACTAACGATGGTATAAATATTTGTTTAACGGTAGTTAAGTTTGAATCATGATATAAATTTGAATACAATTGTACATCGTTACACGTACATACATTAAAAATCAGAAGGTAAATGTTATTCGCATCTCATTCTTTATAACAGAGAGAGACAACAATATTATATTTTAAAATCAAAACTCTGTTATCTTTTGTTTTAAAGTCCAAAATCTCAGTAAAACATCTTGTTATCTCTGTTTTGTGAAATATAAAAGACAGGGATGACGATATATTTGAAAGTGATGTTTATAAATTTTGTATTTCATAATAAATTAAGACAGTCACAAACAAAAATGATAAAAAAAGTCTTTCACTAACTGTACAATCGCGAAGAAAATACAAATATATTAAATTCACAGAAATATTATCTTACTTCTTAGTAATATTATAAATGCGAATGTTTGTATGAGAATGGCTTTATGGATCTCGCTGAAATTTGGCATACATATAGAACATAGTCTGTTCGAACACATAGGCTACTAATAAAGTTTTTTTTTTTAATTCCACGCGGTCGGAGTCGCGGTCGACAGCTAGTACTATCATAATTAAATGTACGTTTGACATTTGAGACGCTAACAAAGGTTAAATGTCACATTCCTTTACGCGACCTCTCAAACACTGATACTTATGATCTGACAGCACTAACATATAGTTGCCAAATAAAATAACATTAGGATTTACTAAGAACCGGTCAAGGAATTTCAGTATTTGCTGGTACTTTTAATATCAGATTTTTTTTTATATTATAAGGTGGCAAAAAAGCGAACTGCTACCTGAAATCGCTGAAATAGCGAAGTGACCGTTGCCCATAGACATACGCAATTGCATATGCGTTGCCTACCTTTAATCGACGGAGGAGAGGATGATATGCCTGAAAATTGGTGAGGAAGTAGCTTAGAGCCAGGAGACGGACATAGGATACTATTTATTCATTTTTTTCGCATTATGCCTTGAAGAGCTGCTTTTTATTTAACTTACTAATATTATAAATGCGAATGTTTAGATGGATGTGATGTAGATGGATGGATGGACTGTACTAATTAAGTTTTTTTATATATCCACGCGGACGGAGTGGCGGGCGACAGCTAGTTTATAATATTAGTAAGATTGTATAAGAGAAGCACTGATAGTCTTATTATAAAATGTCATCTTGAATTATTAAATGTAAAATAACTAAGAATTATTTGTGAGAGTGATACTGAAAGTTTACTGCGCATAAACATCTTAAAAGTTAAATAACTGCTCGTAAATAACATAAAGATAGCCCACAACAAAGTATTACAATGAAGCCGAGCCGATAATAGGTAATAATTTGGCAGCTTTATATGACTTTTATCTATGAAATTGTTTATTTAAAAACCTTTATATACGCAAGGATACATTTGTTAAAAAAGATTTACTTTGCTTTGTATACGAAAGGCCTAAGGAATCACTCGACAAACTATTGAATCTTATACAGGGGTGTCCTAAAATTCGACGTCATATTACAATAATATAAATAATACTTTTAATGTTTTTTTTATATTGCTCTATCACCCGAATCAGGATTGAAGTCGACGTTTGGTACATGCTGTATAGAACAAACTCTGTGTATCATTTGTTTCGTTTTCACATCAGTGTTGCGTAGCGTTGTCGACATTTATTGCCTATCCATTTTGGTGAAATGTGTTGCTTATAATGGCGAAAACATGTCACAGCAACAAACCTTAATAGTTCTTTTATTGCCAGTTTGCTGTATACATCTTAAGTGGGTATGAAATTTAATTCTTTGACTGCAAGTCAACTTTGTTGAAAGTATTACAACGGCCCATGTTACCATAGTTATCTAACAAAATATGACTTGTCCACGCCGCTTGTAGGACTTCATAAGATTCTAACCGTACTCCCTAAATAGGTATAGGCAATACTTGTTTGGTAGGGTGTACCGTAGGCGCCCTAGGCTATCTAGTCATCGCAGCAATCTGGTATGTTATAACTAGTTATAGATGTTAGATTCACTTTTCAAGGCAGCTATAAACCAGTCGGAAAATCACTTCCTGACACGGAAGGAATCGGATCACGGATCTATCACTTTTTGTTTTCGAATAAAAAAACAGCGCTGGGACTACAATACACCAGTAAACCAGTAACTACTGTTGCGGATAGACAGACAGACATTTTTAAAATTAGTTTCTCGGTATAAGTTAGGAAGAGAATCTGAGACTGTGCCGGTGTATCGCAACACTAGCCTTACTAAAATGTCGACGTTTATGTCCCTTCACTAATCATTCTGACACTTGACTTTGTAACGAACGCACGTCATTCGCGGCAAAGGATTCTACCTAATAATGTCTAAAAGTAAAGATTTGCTGTTTAATATTAAAAAAGTAGATCAGTGAAATGTCAAGTATCTCTGGTAACTTGAAGCGAAGTATCGTTGAGCTTAGTTCTTTGCTCAGCCTCTTGTTTGAAGATGCTTTGAGAAGCGACTTTGAGGTTATTGAGATTTCCGTATTTCTTTATAAAAATCTTTCAAAATATGTATTATATATTATTTAGTATATAAAAAATAAACAAAGGACAAGTATTTTTCTAAATTCATGTCTCAATGAGATGTAGGATTAATGTTACGTTTTTAGTTTTTTTTTTTTACCAAAAACCTGGAAGATATATTAAACTGTATACGTAGTTTACATTAGTACAGTAATTTAATTATAATAAATTAAACATACCTTTTGACAGGACAGGTCCAGAAACCTAAAACAAAAAAGTTAAATTATTATTACAATAATATACTTTAATTTAATATTCATAAAGGTGAAAATCCCTTGAACGTTGTATAAAGGCTACTAGTCACAGAGTTTGTTAACCCTTTCAATACTATCTTCATATGTTTCATTTTTAACAACTTTATAAAGTGACGTCTCGCTTCGATGGCCACCCCTATGCTGAAGTATTACAAACAAATCGATAATAAACATTCATACGTAGAAAATAAAGTTCAAAATCCATTGCATCACACATCTGTCATTTTTATAATTAATGTTATTGTAAAATGAACATTATGGCATATGAAATAAGGTCGATAAAGCTTTTGTTATTAGAAGTAATCGTTCCAGAACGAATCGCAATATTTTTGCTTTGGGTGATATTTTGCGAGGAAATTATGCGTGTGAGGGAGTGTAAAGGAATTACATGTAATTTTTATAAGGCGAAACGAGTAATCCGCGGAATTCGCGTATTGCTCGTGAGTTTATCCAATTTATTATTTTTACACTTTTTGCAGCGACTGTACTTGTACACGAGTACAATGGGCGTTACAATGTTGCACTATTGGTGAGTGTACTTTTTTACCCGATTGACAGGTGAGGAATTTTTAGCTCGATTAATAGGTTTTTCAAATGTATTTTTTTGTCAGCAATTGTAGCCTCCTGTATTTAAAATTAAAAAGTATAAGCGAATTTACCAATTTTAAAAAGTATGGTGTCGTTTGGAGCGTCGGTGGCTCAGGGATCCAACACATGACTTGCAATCTGAAGGTCCTGGGTTTGAATCCCGCCATATACCAATGTGTTTTTCAATTTCCGATTTACATAAGTACATTTATCAGACGTTCTTACGGTCAAAAAAGAAAAACATCGTGATACAACCTGCAGATATCTGAGAAGAAATTCAAAGAAATGTGTGAAGTCAACCAACCCGAATTGGGCCAGCATGGTTGACTATGGCCTAATCACCCTTAACTTAGGGTAGGCTCTGAGCCCCTCGGAGAGGACGTCGAGCTGATGATGATGATGGTGTCATTTGATTCGTGATCTTCCGTAGGGTGAAGTTTCGGTCAGTTAGTGAGAGTATTTGAATGTTAAATTTATTACTGGCCTAAAACAATAAATGAAATAATCCAACGAAAATATACATACACAGGTGTCCCATAATGAATGTATACTTTTGTAATATTGTAGCTTGTATTGTTATAACACCAAAATGATGAACAAATTAATTAGATATTTACACTAGAAGATTTCATTTATGCAACCATTTAACTCTTACTTAGTGCGGTACTTAAAAGTGCCAAGGTTTGTGCAAAACACTAATTAAAAATGTTTTTACGTCAATGTTTTTGTACCAGCCATATCTAGTGATACTATGATTATTATATGTGCAAATGTTATATATTACTTCTTACTAAACTCACTAATATTACCGCGAATGTTCAGATGGATGGAGGGATATTTGTTAGAAGGTGTCTTCAGAACAGCTGCATGTATCTCGCTGAAATTCGGCATAGATATAAAACACAGCCTGGACAATCACATAGGTTACTAATTAAGTTTTTTTTTAATTCCGCGCGGACGAAGTTGCGGGCAACAGCAAGGCTATATAATAAAAGCTATTGTAAGTTTATTGAACTTTTTTCTAAGTTAAAATCACGATTCTCATTACTATGTGAGTTGGGTCGTTTCCCTTAAATGGTCAGTCCGCTCGGATATCCTGCGCAATGTACCTACTGCACATATTAATTACCTTATTGGTGCTTTTTATACTGGATTTACTGCGATTTAGTTAAATGAAGAATTATTAGTCTGTGTTGTTGAGGTTTTATAGCTTTAGTTACTAGCGGAATTAATTAAGCTATTTGTTTTCTCTTTATCCTTGTTATGGCCAGCTCTATTTTATTTTTAATATTGTTTGGTATAAAACAGGATATTATGCTTCTCTTTGTAATAGAGTATGAAGATTATCAGAGCTACTTAAGGTTTTAAACATCTTTTTATCTGTCGTACAACGCCATTAGCTGTCGCTAGCGACACTTTCCTAGGTTTTGTTTTTCCAGTCTGTTCTACATTTACGCCCAATTTCATTGAGATCCCTTTAACCCTTCTAATAAACATCCATATATCCAGACATTCGCATATATAAGTAACATTAAAGTTGCTTAAAATGTATTCACAATCAATTCTTATTAAGCAGTTTTTTAGTCTTATAATATTATATCTAATTCTGAACCTTGAACTTTATGGCATAAACAAACAGAACACATCAAAGATTATATCTACGAAGCACTCAAAATTGCTTCGTAAGTGTAATTCAATCCTTACAACGTATCATAAAATAAACTCAACTTGAATAACAGATCTAATGAACTAAAAGATAAAGTCCATTTTGACATAACTCGTTGAACAAATAAAGATTCACGGATTCAAAGATAGGCAATACACGTTGATATTTTCAAGTATCTAATTCTACATTATCGTGTAAAACGGAACGCAAATCCTGGCAATTGCCCACTGATTTCTATATAGACTGGATAGGTCGCTGTTTGTTAAAGACTTAAAAGTGCCAATTGGTACACCGCTACAGTGTCAAAATGGCGACAATCGAATAGACACAAAATAATAAAGCTTAAAGCATGTCTAGAACAGAGGTCAGTGAATCCGCCATAAAGCTTTCCTACCCACGTTTAGTAAAGAACGTACACGGAAATTTATAATGGGCAAGTTACGTCGTGTTTCCTTTCAAACGTTAAGACGGTATCCGTCACCACGCTGTATTTAAGTCTCACTGATACGAGTACCTTCAATAAAACCTCTTTTGACTAATACTAGCTTATCTTATGGATCGCATACTATTAATTTAATTCTAGCTTCTTGTCTCTAAGAAACATCAATTTTTAAATCTTAAATAGTCTATTAGAAAATAATACAGTGGGTTTTCTATCATATGTTTCTTTCTCTCTTCTTAATTATTTAATTTGAAAATTTTGCTCTGATTTTAACTTAATTTAAATGTTTTTGTTAGTCTTAAATTGCGGTTAATTTGGGATCTATAATATCGACAACATTATTGCGGAATTAAAACGTGGAATTTTGTGAAAACAAAAAAAAAACATCGACAATTTTTCAGTAAATTAAAATTGAATAGACGTCATTTACCTAATAAAATAAATGAGATATGTTTCGTATAAAGAGTTTTTAACAAACAAAAGACAACATAAATATTTAACACACATAAAGAAGTGGGTCATAAAATGGTCCCTTGCGGCACACGTTTGACTTTCCGCCGCCGAGCGAGCATAAACACGAAACGCAAACTTTTATTCAACAAACAGCGGAACTAAACTTTATGTAAGACTCTTTGAATAACGAGGTAACCTTCTAAAGGTAGCGTTGAAGGTGCTAAACGAGTTCAATGGCCTCAAACGCTTGTGTGTAAACGATACGAGGTGAGAAGTTTGAGATGTGTAACATTTGTTTACGTACTTGATACACTTTAACTGCTTCTTTCCATTGTTGAAAACTTGTTTAAAATATAGTATCATCCCTTTCATACTGTTTGAAAAACGGATATAGCAATATATTTAAGAAAGTGTGTTGACACCAGAATTTTATTACTAATAATTCTGTTTAATGTTCGGTATAGAGTACTTAGAAAATAAAATTTGTTGTATTAAGTATCTTTTTAAATTGCAAATACTGGTTACATATTATTAAAAACTAGCAGTTGCTTGCGAAGAAGTTCTTATACTATTAAAAATCAAGACAGAGTCTATGTCACCCTGAGATAATGTAGCTTCCCAATGGTAAAATGATTTTTCAAATTAGTTTAGTAGTTTTTTAGTCTATTCAATACAAACAATCAAATCTATTCTCTTTGTAATTAGTATAGATGATGTTTCAAATTCCCGAAAACAAGTTCATCACGATCAATCCAGTCCATAAATATAGCCTTAACAATATTTGAATATGTAGAGACCTAACCTGCTGCGAGCTACTTTTTTTTATCTTTGCATATATTAAAATGTCTTAGAATCTATACATTAATTATCCAAGTTATATTCTGGTACAAGAAACAATCTTTGTTTTTGTTTAATAGCAACATGCAAGGATGCCTCGGGGCCTTAAAAAGAAATAATTACACTCCAGCAAATTGATGGCTTGTAGTGTGCCACTCAGAAAATAATTTTCATTTGCATCAATTTGCATACTGCTTAGGCTCGTTATGAGAACTTGAACTTAAGTTTATTATTAAAGTCAACGCTTCAATGGTAACAACTAAGTATTAAGTAATCACTCAAATATACAAGTGATGAGAAAAATGTTTTAGTTATTAGGAATTATTAAAAGGATAGGCTCTAATATAAGAGGCAGTCTCATCATCAACCTGACCTTATCCGTACGGAGGGTCGGCACAGTACAACTCCTCCATACTTCCATCTTTCACACAATCCATCCAAAATTTCATCGGACTACATTGTCTGTCAATTTACAATATAGGTGAGAGTATTTTGTTTCTTTGCTTACATTGTTATGATTGTTTTCTTATGCTTGTATCTTTACAACCAGCTTGTTATGAGGAGGGAAGAATTGCATATAGAAACGTTAAGTATGAGTGTGGAGGAACACCGGTAGAGGTAAGCTTAGGAATAGATGGATGGATTGCGTGAAAGGGGATATGATTAGGAAGGGAGTGACGACTTAGACGACGGTAGATAGATTGATTTTGAGGACGGAAACCTGGTGCGGTTACCCTACGTAAGTGGGACAAGGACAGAGAGATGATGTAGAGTCTTTTCGACTAACATTATGACTATAGATCAACCAATTTAGCTATAGTATAGTAAAGGAAGATATGAGAGAGTTAGTTCTAGTTTTTTTTTGGTTCCAATTAAGTATAATAGAATATCTAGATGTTTGTATTGTAATAAATACATTTCTAGAAATTCTATTATCAATTTTAATTTCCAATACCTGGAGATA